TGCTCCTCGATTCGTATTCTGACTTTTCTCCTTGCTTCCCCAATATATTTATGTTCGTAGGCGTTACATGTTATGTAATAAACTACCGATCTAACCTATTTGTCGATCTTCTCATGTTGTGTGGGTGGACTTGTGAAGAGTGCTGTTTTTCCCTTCATGGTCACCTGAATATTCCATTTTCTTAGTATTGTCTGTAGTCTTCGAGTTTGCTCACAGGAAGTAAGGTATATCAACTTTTTTGAGGCTTTCTCATTGCCGACGAAACGTCTGGGAATGTACCATGTCCATGGTCCGACGCTGTGAATTATGACGACTACTATGGAAGATGGCTTCGAACAAGATGCGTCCAACTAAGTCTCCCTGATAATATGTCCAAGTTACGGAAACGAGGTCAGCTCACTTTTATTCACTAAAAGTTAAAGATATGAAGACCAAGATGGTATGGCCCCCTGCATGTGGGTTGACCTCGTCGAAACCTGGTCTTGTTATCAGGGCGACTTAGTATAACTCACCTTGTGTAACCGTTTTCGGCAGAACGTTGGTCGGGGGATTGACTTCACTTTTCTCTTTGACGAGTTCATAGCTTGATGCGGGGAATGGCAACACTCACTAATGATGCCGAATACGACGCCAGTGAAAAGTCTGAGAATGTACCAAATCCACGGTCTGATGCTGGGAATTATGATAACTATTATGACAAAGGACTTCGGACAAGGTGCGTTCTACTAAGTCTCACTGATAATAAGACCAAGTTACGACAACGAGGTTAACCCGCTTTTACTTTTAGTTAGTTTATCTCTGAAATAAACTTCGTCTTAGCTTCTTTCTTTCTTGGCTTAATTATTAAGTTGAGCTGAACCTTTTCGAACATTATTTACTTGAAATAAGAATTTCGATGATGTTTTCTTTATATACTTTGTAAAATATGAAAATTCTGCTAAATATTTTTAAATGCTTAGAATCCTTTAACTTTCATTGGAACTACAAATTAGCAGAAAAAATATTATCAGCACAGTTAAAGGCAGTTTTATTTTTCCCCGTACATTCCCGATCTTAAATACATTTTACCATTTATAGAATAAGTCGAACTTAGCTCCCAGTGTAACCACTGAGTTATTGCAAGTGTATCTATTTCCATCCTAAACCTTTGCATTGTTTTATCAATGTCCTTTCTTTGTCTTGCTTTGTACTCTAGTTCCTAACCAATTTCTTCCCGATGTTTTCTTATCAGATGTGCTCAGTGATGTACTCATCGATGGCAGTGAAATGACCTCTGTGGCCTACCAGGAGCCAGAGTACTGGTGTTCTATCTACTACTATGAGATGAACACGCGTGTCGGCGACACTTTTCAGTGTGCTTCACCTTGCCTTACTGTGGATGGTTTCACAGACCCGAACCGGCACAATCGCTTCTGTTTGGGCCTGCTCAGCAATGTGAATAGAAGTTCCCAGATAGAACTGACAAGGCGACACATTGGTAAGATGCAGAGTATTATTTAATTATTTTTATGTTAACTAAAATTTCTTTATAGCTCATTAAAGTTGTGATTTTCCTATCAAAATAAAAGCCATTTTTGAAAAATATAAATTTTAGCTTCCATATGCTTTAGAAGTATATGAAATAGCTATCACTTTTTCATATTAGCTTTCTTCATATGCTTCACTTTCGCCTTCGGCATTTTTTAAATTAGCTGGCCATCAATCCCAAAAACTATTCAATTTATTAATTGC